ATTATTCAACAAGAATGTATTTAGAAGCCATAGAAATACACAAACACCAAGAGAACTTCAACAGAAAGGAAGAGAGAAAATATCCACCAAAGATCTGGCATACAGCATTGAAAGGTACTAAAACGAAATCATGTCACCTGAATCGCGCATGAAGTACGCGCGAATCGACCTTTACAGAAAGTGTGAGAAAAATTAGCACTATAAATGACATGGCAGAAATGAGAGCTTCAGTTTCAGCCGATAGTCAAGAAAAGTACTTCGACCACGCCAGATTCAAATTATTAACATATTCTTTTCATAACAGGGACCCTTCTTTTCATTACCCAACAAGAATCAAGGTACCTAATTAACAACCTTCAAAATGTAAAATTTTTAACTAAGCGGGAAAGTGAACAGTGTACAATTTATGAAGGGTACCTACCATCAATGGGTTCTTCCTAAAATTCATACGACTCAGCTACAACCACGTCCAATAATTTCTGGTATCAAAGGCATTGCACAAATGGTTTCTGACTTTTTGACAAGCGCATAGTACCAAGATAATAGTTTTATCGCCAAAGATTGTTCTCAGTTTTTTCAGTTTATTAATGATTGTCAAATTCCCAACAATTATATCACAACTAGTTTAGACGACCTTGCGTATAATAACATTGGAAAACATTGGGAAACTATTTCCATTATGGATCTTCAGACTTTTTGAAATTTAATAAAAAATGTTCTGAATCCACGGTTTTATCATTTTCTGAAAAATGTCATGAACAAATTTTAAGCATCCCTATGGAAAGTCCTGTGTCTCTCATCTTTGCCCAGTACGTCATAGACGATCTGATGATATCTTGTTCAGATAGAGTTCAATTTCAAATACCCTCATAAAAAAATATGTTAATGATATTATATTGAATGTTCTGTATAACAGAATTGAAGAAGTTCTCCGAATTTTTAAAGACTCTAACCCGCATATCCAATTTACCGAAGAGGATGATAACTTTTCATTTCTCAATAATGAATTAATAAGGAGACAGGATAATACTTCAATTACTCCGTGGTATACCATACTCGGTTCTTCTATCATTCCACCCTCCTGACAAGTACTCTTTAAAAATCTTTCAAATTCAATCGTTGGGGGTGACTACCCCTCCTCCCTACCACAGGCTAGTCAACAGTTTGATCTTCAACCATTCTTTCATAATCACTGTGCAGAGGGAGGCAGATACTCCACTTCATATCATTAATTGTACCATACGCATATTCCATAATGTAAAACTTTTGTGAGGTTAAGTGGTGGAACAAATCAGTAATTTTGAATTATCAATTTGAACTTCGCCTTTGATGTCAGCCCTGGGATCAGAATTGATTTTCCAAATGTAAAAAATCTGTATCCTTGTCCTGTGTGAGTGGGTTTTCGATATACAGATGTTTCCCATTTAGTGTCGGTCCTCTTCACCAATACGTCTAAGAATGGCAATTCGTTGTGGATTTCCTTCTCCATTGTGAAAGTGATGGAAGGTCTTACGTTGTTGATGTGCTTCAGGAAAGTGTCTAGTTTTGCATTCCTGCATTAGGTTAGCATCCTTATTCGCCAAACTACCTATCTCTCAAATACCTGCCCTTGCAGCATACCTGAAAATTCTAATAAAACCGTTATTTCAAAATTTCATATTTCAGTTTTATATTTGATAACGGGACCAAACCCGAAACCGGACGCATAAATAAAATCTACCAGTGGTATTTAGACAAAAGTGTTTTTATTCATTTCATTTAAATTATTTTTTTCACCTAAATTTGCGCTGGTCAGGCCCTATCCCCCGAAGCGCCATCATCATCAACCAACGACCACTCCCCACACCGTGGTCATTGTATCCGAGAATCATGTATTGTCATTTTTCAGCTAATCTCTTTAATTTTTTACAGATATTTTCAGGGATTTCAAATCAATTTATATCTCATTAGACAATGGATGTCCGAACTAATGAAATATAATCAAATGTGGCTGAGATTTCTGCCTAGTGCGGCAAACCGGCAATATTTTGAGATTCGAGAGTAGAGAGGGCATCATTTCACCAACGACAATAATCAGAAAAACCATCTTGAGAGAGTGGTGTGGATAGAGTCTCCATTTTTTCTCCTCTTTTCGGATGATATTCGTCTCAACAAGAGCAGTAAACGCTATGACAAATATCGTCTTGCTCTGATAGTCGAGGAGGACTGCATCAGGCTTATTAGCTTATATGAGCCTGATTGATTCGGCCCTGTTACTTGATGAAGATCCATAGTAATTTCAAAAACTACACCTCACGATTTGATCTCCACAAGCTTTATTTGAAAAATATAATCACATGTTTCGCTAGCACAGTAGCTTTATCAAGTGTATGAATACTTCAAATTGTTCTTACATTAATATTCATATACCAAAGGTAACCATAGATGAGGCTACCTCCAAAAAATTACCTGAACCTCTACCTAAGGTACCTGTTGAATTATGATTATCTAAAGCATATTACCTCACATCCACATCAATAATAATTCTTTCTCGGTTTGGAACAACTTGAACCACATACGATTAATTTCATATAACTATGTCAGAATATTAGATAATTCCAATAGTTTACATAAAATAAGTTTTCTATAAATGTTCAACATATTAAAATATACACTCAGCATATATTCCAGAAGAAACATTATCTATACTTACTTGCTTCACTTGAATGAAAAGAGCAAGTTTCATAACCCTTCTCTGTTACATTATGATTATCAATAAATATTTCAATGCGAATTTGAGATATTCTCATTATAATTCATGTTTCAGTCTGTGAATGTTCTATTGATGTTCTTTCATCAGATTTTTTTTTAATCAGTGCTAAACCTGGTGAAAGATCTGTCAATTTTTTTAAGTACTGTTGGTATTCACTCTGTGTGACACTTTCTGGATTTTGATGTTCCGTGGTTTCATCTTTTACATTTTCACATTTCACATTTTATACAAAACTTGGACAGTTTTTCCACGAAAGTTAACAAAATGGTTTTAAGAATTGTATTACAATTCATCTAGTATTAGTTCATATATCTATTTTATGTGGTGATGTTTCAAGAAAAACAAAATTTATTTGCGGGCTTCACATTTATTACCCACAACTTTCGTGAATACCAATTCCACTTGTATTACACACTAATTGGTATTGAGGTAAGACCTCGTTAATTCCTAGTTCACACAAGTTTAGACTTCTGGATTATCGTTCGTAACGGGGCAACAGCTGATAGCTATACAGCATGAGTACGGGGCTGAGATTACATACTTTTTCGTATAGGATTTCATTATATTCTTTGTCAGACCTCTGATGGGAACCTTGTGGAACACTCACTGATTAGTATCTCCGGTATTACTAGTCGGAAAACGATGTGCAGCATATTGAATGAAACAGGAGGGGGGGATGTTGATTTTGGAAAATAAAAAAAAACATATTGTTGGCGTGCCAGAAGGCATTAAGTCATAGCTTCATTTATAATAGCCGGATCGTGACGTTCATACATAGAATGAAAAACTTTTCAGTTGATCTTTCCATCGGTCACTGGCAGCGGAACTCTTACTGGCATCGGAAGTCAATCTAAAAGTTTTATAATGCGAGAATAGGTTTTTGATTTTTTTGTCTTCTACGGAAATTCGAAGGAATCTGAAGGCAGTTTTATGAATCAGACCTTTGTCTGAAAATATTATAGTACGAGAAAAAGTTTCAATTTGTTTTCAAATCTTCTACGGTCTGAAGAAATTTATTTTTTCTAAATACGACCAAAGAACTGTTATTGTAAAAAAAATGTGTTTTTTCGTAAACCAGCTGTCGACCCCCTACGAACGACAACTCTCAAAAGTCAAAACTCATGTGAGCTAAGGACTAACGAGGTCCTACCTTTTAACATGTGATTCCTAACACAAATTGGACAATACGAAGTGAAAAACGATCGTCCGGCCTTGCGGTTCGAACCACCAGTTCGCACATCGGTCGATTTACCGAGTGCGAACTGACCACCCACGTCAACCCACCAGGCTACCGTCCTGGATTAGACCTAGTATATATAGCCTTGATCATGTTTGCTCTTGCACAGTGACTTCAAGTTTTTTTGCCAAGAAAAATCACATACTTATAACTCAATTACACTTTTCTTCAGCCAAACAAATCCATTCTATTCTATACTTATGACTATTCTTATCAAACTAAAGAACTCAAAAAATTGGGAAACTCAAAATATAGGTACCTATTGAGTAGATTACAGATATTGTCAAAAATTGTTGTCTTCAATTCAATGAACGATTCCAATTACCTTCAGAAATATTGTTTGTATAAAGTTAAGAAAGAAAAACGATCTGACAACACACTTGCGTTGGCTTCTCTAACCCATGTTAAACCTTACCTACGTCAAAAAGTGTGGCTAGAAAACTGTGGCAAACTTCACATTCATTATGAGGGTAGAGTTCCTGTGGTTGAAAGTTATTCATTGTGAATTTACCCCTTTTCCAGCATCTTTTTTGATTGCTTATGTTTTGATAGTTTTTGAGTCATTACCTTTTTTCATTCCAATTTGCTAATAACAATTGTCATTTTTGTGTGCTGTTAGATCATTAAAATATATTTTTCATTCTGAATCTAACGAGCTATTGATCATATTTTTAGTAATTTTATTTCTATCAAGCATAAATTCCAACTTGTGAACTAGATTGATAGAAAACAAGGTCTATGATTGTAAATTGTACAATTGAGTTTCAGCTGGCGAGTTTCATTTTTCCTGAAAAGAAAGACGTCATTCAGAACCAGAAAATACCCTCTTCTAAAGTAAATATAACGGAGGGGATACCACCTGAAAATTCGAAGAAAAACAATTACAACGTAATTCCTCATCGACGTGTAGGTAGTACTCTTCCGTACTATCAACCCCTCCAACGAAAAAATTACCGAATACCGCTAGTTATCCGTACTCCTTAACTGTTGTGTTTGTCAGTACCGCAGCAAAGTGCACGGTGAAAGTACCAGCGGTCGTATTTTGTAGCGGTAGGTAGAATAGGTACTACCCGTAGATTTTCGCAGATCGCTGACAGTGTGTGAATTGGTGGTGAAACGTTCGTTTATCTGCTGTCGCTGACTTTCTTTCGCATCGTAGAGGAATCTCGCTCTGATTGTTCACTTCAATGGGAAACGAAAGGAGTTCTTAGAAGGTACTGTAGAAACTTTTCAGATATTATCGCCGACGATGAACTGCTTTGTTGTTGAAATAGAAATTGTTTACATTTCGGTTGCGAGGTAAACAAACTTTGAGATTTGTTACGGAGATACAGTTAAATCAGCTCTCCGAGTTTGCATCTATTGCACTGACACTGCTTCTTGGGAGAAATATTTGAAAAAAGTAGTAGTGATTTAGCCCTATATTGAAGAAGACACGGGATTATTCTCTGAAAATAGAGGAGCATTTAAAGTCGATCGAACTAACACTAGTTCAATACGGTTGTTGAAATTCCAAAATCATTCATCTACAGTATCAAGTACTCTTTATTTTCCTGAAAGTTTTCCTTTCAAAGTACTCAAGTATACAGCGCCGTGATATTACATTCATTCAAGTATTCAGTGCCTAGTACTTCTGTCAATATTTTTGAAGTACTCATATTTTTTCGATATTTGAGAATGTAACTATAAATTTTGCTGATATTATTTAAATCAATTCTTTCATTGATGGATCTATCGTCATTATTGCTGTGTACCATTTCCTGAAAAACTATTTTTAATTGGTTTGATTCTGTACAAAGGACAGTGGAATTGTTGGAATCCATTTTATGGTCATTATCATTACCATGTTCTGATAATGCACATCTGTTTCTCATAAAAATGATAGACTGAGGAACAGATATGCATTATCAGAACATGTGAATGATAATAACCATAAGTTGGATTACAACAATTCCACTGTTCTTTGTACAAAATCAAAGCTATTAAATAAAGTTTTTCTGGAAATGGTACACATCAATAACGACGATAGATCCGTCAATGAAAAAACTGATTTGAATAATCTCAGTCAAATTTATACCTGAAAAAGTGGTGAAAAACATCTCTTGATGACAGGTTTTTTGATAGACGATGACATTTTTACAGAAATAACACAAATTATTCAGACAATGCCAAACGCCAACAGTATTGGTGGACAAATAGTGATACGCTTCTGTACAGAGCATTTGTATGTCTTGCAAGAGCTGTAGTGAGGATTATATCGAAAATGAGTTTGTGCGCATAGGGGCGGGCTCGCCATCACGTTTGGCGCTTGCTGTAGTTAATTTGTATTTTATTCGAAGCACAGCATAGGTAACACTGAAAAATAACTAAATCGGATGCTCAAATGAGAAGATTGGCTTGCAATACAAGCATATGTCTTCTCCTAATCGAGTGCCACATACGTTCAAAAATTCCTGGGGTATTGCGTATGACATTAGAATTATGCAAAATTTTATTAACATGTCAAACTTGCAGAAAAACAGTGGCATACAATGACTATTACCATAAATATCAATCAGGTAACCCTCTGTGACGCTACTGGAATTATTGTCCGTAATATAATTTCATGAAAAGAAGCCCCTTGTTACTGCTAAGAAATACACCTAGTAAAACTTTGACTCAAGAAACGAAGAAAGTTAGGACACACGTTCATATGCACTTTTTTTCATAAAATATGACAAAGTAATCACCACCTGAAATTGATAACATAATTCAAGATACACCCTGTATATAATTAACAACAAACACTAACCTGTGAAACCGTTACAACGAAAAACGCCGAGTAAAACAGCTACATATTCCTTTTTTTATTTGAACCAGATGAGTTGACGACACTAATTTAAAGAAAATTGGCACCGATTCACCATAATATGCTGAGCCTCGAACAAATTTGACTTTTTTAAAATAATATAATCAATTCAGCTCGGTAGTCGTCACGGCTTATTTGCAAACGATGTTAGTTGTATAAACGAATGTAAAATAGAGAAAATACTTCGGATGAATACTCAAAAACCCGTTAGATTCTCAAATAAATTATCTGACGGTGATACAGGGTCGTCGTAGTTATCACAACTGCGATATTTTTAGTTAAGATTAATTTATTGGAAAAAAGTTTGTTTTGGCTATCTACGTCTTCATCAATAAACAAATAATTTCACTCCATGTATCGCATGAGGAACACTAAATATTTCCTTTACAAATTCTATGCAACGCTCAATTTGATTTTTGTCATTATTTGTAAGAATTTTTTTGTTGATGTAAAATGAAATTTTCGTTTCTGTATCAAGAGTAACCAGGTTCAATTCAATGTCACGAAAACCCAGGCATCGGTTTTCTCCAAAAAGATAAATGTCTCTGAACCGTATATAATAATGTCAGGATAAGCAAGTCTACATTCTTTTGCGATAAGTTGGTTGGGGTTTGAATTGGACACCAATATGTCTTGGCACAATCATGTCGCTGGAATTGCAAAGGCTGCTTCTCAAAAGCTTGGAACAGTGTTCCGAACCAGAAAACTGTACACATCTCTGCAACTTTCGATGCTTTATAAAGCTCAGATCAGACCTTCTTTGGAGTATTATTCTAATGTATGGAGCTTCGCCGCCAAGCGTACTTCCAAGCTGCTAGATTCCATTCAAAAAAGAGCCATCCGCCTGATTGAAGACGCGAACATCACTTGCAATCTTGATAGTCTGGAACATCGAAGAAGGGTTGGAGACTTTTCTCTCTTCTATAAATACTGTCACGGGAAGTGTTCAAGTGACTTGGCACAATTGATTCCACCAAGAGCGGTACATATCAGAAATACGCGACGGACTGTGGCTGCTCATCGTTTTGACGTTCAACTCAGTACACCTCTTACGTCACTAATCAAGAAATCTTCCATCTGGAGAGCTGCGTTTATGTATTCCACATTCCTGAGGACGTTTTTCCAAATGGATTTAATCTCCAATCCAATGTGAATCAATATCAATTAAATATATGTTCTGAACGATTTGAAGAAAGAAAAAAATTCGAAACTAATATCAGCATGCTAGACACTATTTTCTGTGAATAAGTAGAATTGCATTCTCCGGCGGAAAATGAATCTATTAAAAATACTTTTTCGACACTATAACAAAATACTGTCTCTTGACATGCGTTTCGTGTACCAAGTTAGCATTATCAGAAAATGACTTTGATGAAACTCAGTGATATCCTGTTGGTGTTTACTTGGAGAGCGAAACGAACGTCGAGAAACAGTATTTCTCTGGTGTGGGAAGTATTTTTATGAGGCTATTTTTTGTGTTCCTCGATGTTTTGGTTTCTTCTAGTAATTCAGTATGATTTGTTTTATGGAATACTCATTTTTTTTTTCTTATCCTTTTAAATATGATAATTTTTTTGTGTGCCGGATATCGTCGATCTTCATACCCAGGCTTCACATCCATATAGGTTTGCATATGCTCTTTTAGTCTGTCTCGAGATTTTCAGTTAACGTAAGAATATTTTGTTCCATATATTTTTGAAGTGTTTTCAATAATTCCAATAATTTTCAACTCCTGTTTCAAAAATATTATAGAAGTGATGGATTTGATATGAGATTTCTACTCGAAAGTTTACAAAACCGTGACACGTGTTTTGCCATACTCGGGCTTCACAATACTGTTGTGAACAAATTATGTGTCGTGCTTTTATAGTAATTAAAATCATTATGAATATTACAACCTGCTAAATTTCTACATGATGATTTATTTACCTATCAAAGAACAACTCATAAGACTGGGGAATAATGAATAACAATTTTTACCTGAGCTATCATTTTACCAATTTTAGGATCTATCCTAATTACCAATTTCCTCATTGCAAACTATATTCAATGAAGGGGAACAATTCAAAAATATTTGATCTTTGAGCAATAATTCCAAATTTCTGAATCGATTGATTTCTGAGCAATCCAAAAGGTTGAGCTTTGAACCTTTTTCTTCCGACTGCAATATTTCATAATCGTGATTGAACTCGTGCCCCTTTGTCAAAAGATGATTCGCAAATGTTGAATTGGTCTTTCCATTCAAAGAACTACTTTTATGGTCTTTTATTCTTTTGAAAAAAGTTATTCCGGTTTGTCCGATATAAAATTTTTGACAAGAACTCCTGTTTTCATGTTCTTCCATTAATACTTCTAGATATTAAAATCTTTTCAAGTTCTATCCTTAACTTCTAGTGGTATATTGAGTTCTTCTGTTTCCACACGCACTCTTGACATCATTAGATTGGATTAGATATTTTATTGGTCAAATTATTACACTTTAGTGGTATGACAAGTTAATGATATATAATATAATTGTGAATTAAAATTATCAAAAAGCAGTGGGTAGTTGATAAAAATTGTATATAATACGAGCACAAAATGAAGTAAATATATAAATGTAAAAACAGAGATGCATAAGACAGTACACGTAGGCACAATTATTGACATTGACATTGACGATAGTCACTCAGTGAACCTGAAGTCAGACGCATCATGGTAAGATTTAGATTACCTTCGTTATCCCCAATTCACCTTCTTGTAGCTCACTCCATTCTGTTAGGCTTTCCTGTAAATTTCTTCCATTATGGTTTATAATTAATATGACTTATTTCGTAATTGGTGTACGAATTGCAGCTATTAGATATCTTCCTGGTCTGAAGATTCATCCATTCACATTTACTTGGAAAATCCGGAAAAAGTGTAGAAGTAGCATAAATACGACATAATAAAAATAATAAAAGTTCAGGTGAAAATTCAACAAGAGATGCTATCTTAGTTCATGTATAACGAGGTAAGCATTTTTCATTAAATTTACAGTTCATTTAGTCTATTTAGATTCGGTATAACAATGAACGAATTCTTGCCATTTCTATGTTGATACAGTTACTTCTGAACTCTAATCGACAATTCTCGAATCATGTAATTTTCCAAAGGCATCGTAATCGAACACCGCATGTTTAGAATACTTCCGTAGATACATAATTGGGTGAACAACAATTCAGAATCCAACGGATCCATTAACCGATCCGATATTGAGATCGAGCAAATAAAGAAGAAATAAGAATAAATAATCACTAGTAGTATTAGCAATTTGCGTGTTTATTTAACATCAGTTATATGACAGAACTAACCGATACTTGATGAAAATCCATTATAACTATTCAA